TTACCAGTTATCATAGGTGACCAATAACTTAGTTATAACACCCTTGAGTTATGGTGTTATTTTTAATGTATCTTCACGAATGTATGAATTCACAATTATATTTGGAGGTTGCTTCAATGTTATACATATTCATTACTACATTACGTACATATGCAGTTATATTCAATATATATTTTAATATCTAACGTATAGACCGTAGTCTATAGGTAATTTATTGTTTCTTTTCATGTTTTATAATTCATATTTTATGGTACAAATTTGTTTCTTTTGAAAGCTTTATAATATTTTCTATTTAATCAACTGAGTCTTTTAATGCTAGTTCTCTATTGTTAATGCAATATGGTTGGGCTTCTTTTGTAATTAAATGAACATGAGGCAGGTTAGTGTGACCAATTCTCATTCTTGTCACTACCACATCTTCTCTTCTGTTTCCTCTTCCAGCACTTATCCACTGTTTTGTAGTTTTTTTAATATTTCAAAGTTTATTAGTCAGTGGAATTTCATTCCAGATGGACTCCCAATTTTTCCGTACTCTGTCTTTTAGCAATGTTTTTATATCACTCTCATATATTTGGAGAGCTGGGATATTCATATGAGCAGCTTCTTTATCAGCTTTATCCGCTGCCTCATTTCCTGGTATCTCGGAGTGTCCTGGAGTCCATAAAAAAAATCCACTTTTATTAAGATTGTTTATAATTTCGATATATTGTTTCTATACTATTCTATTCTATTTATTGTTGGTCCGGTTTATTTGAATTTGCTATAATCTGAAGGGCGTCGATTGAATCAGAACATATTACTATTTTCGAGCTTTATATATTTATTGATAAATACAATGATGAAGAAATGGCCTATAATTCTGCAGTATATATTGTTGAGGTTGGGGGTAATTTATACTTATTGGGTATCCCATTTATAATTACTGAAAAATGTCTTAGATATAAATCAATAAACGAAGATTTAATTACTATTTGATTGTAACCTACATAGCTAGTCGCAAAATGCCTGGAAGAAAATTGCCAACTAAATTCACCAAGAGCATTAGGCTAAAAAAACAAAATTTGAATCCATGTGCGAATTTACCAGATGTATTTTTTGTATACAGTCGTAAATATCATATAAATAAATAAATAAATAAAACAATTTATTCAAGTTTGAAACGATGGCACCATCCGAATTCAGTGTTAATTCGGCGGGAAGTAGACTTTTATGAGATCAAAAAACGCCATTTTTACGAACTTTTCATCAAACCTCCAGCCATGAATTTCCGAAAAGATGTTCAGAAGCACATAGGGAACTTCCCGAAGAGCACTTTGTCTTTGCTGGAATACACTTGGTATACCAGCAATATTCCGTAAACAAGTTTCGATCAATTTAATGGAGCAGGAGATCGTACTTGAGACCATTATAGCTCAGATTGACCATTGGGAAGTTTAGATTCAAACCCTCTATTGCTCATAACAGAACAAAAAGGGCCTTGGTCTTCTTCTTGACGATTGCGCAAGGAGATCTGTCCAGAATCACGAACAATTACGAGGTTTTTCCTCCAACATATAGAAGAAACAGTTGGAAGGTATTTTTTTACCAACCCACATGATAAAACCTGAGCTTTCTCCAAGAAATCTCCTGTACCTAGGGCCAAAACATGGCTGCTACCCAGTTCTGAATTCACTCAAGATTTGACTACAAATGTCCAATTTCTAATTTTTAAAAATGCAACTTAAATTATTATTTCATCCACTAAACCCATCATTTCTCCATCACAACAAATTCATGGTCTCAATTTATTAGTTCGTGGTATAGACTCATTTTTATCAAATTATTAACATCCGCCTGAAACTTCGTTAATAGTTTCATCTCATCGTAACCTACAACTATTTTATTTACGAAAACTCTTAGAGATGGTTTTCAATCTGGCGGGGGGGGAGGCATACTTTGTCTATTTAATTAGGTACTTAGTGTATATGGGAATGCATATGTTTTTGCTTAGTTTTAATTTTCTTATTTATAGATTATGTTTATTTTATTTATTGCATATACTTTTTGATTATCGTTTATTGTTATTTTGCTTCTATTTATTTTATATTTTTTGTACATATACAGAGGTAGGTGAATGTTATCCTACCTCACTATAACTAGTGTCCATGTGACAGATTGCTAATTAAAAAAATAAATAAATAAATAAAAGTAGGTTCTAAAAACTCGTAAATACTCATTTACTTTCTACTTGAATCGTAAGAGAATTTGATCATATAGCCGAGAGAAAAGGTGGTCTCCAAAAATATTGAGCCGCTTGGCGTGACCTACACTCCTAAATTTTCAAAATAATGAGGTTATATAGGATAAATGGCCCAATATTTTTGTAGGTCACCTTTTTTATCGATTTTGTGATCAATTTATCTTACGATCCAAGAAGAAAGCAAATGGGTATTTACTAGTTTTAAGTAAATATTATTATTATTATTAACCAACCCTTGTATATATCAAATATTTGCACGTACGTAGTTACACGAACTGAAATTTCAATGAGAGAAAACTCATCATTGTATAATGGTATTTAATTTTATGTTGGAGTGCTACCAATGGGTAGTTTCTCTTTGCATTACATATTCATATTACCAATCCAAATTAACTTGTTTTTTTTAACTAACACAGTTTTCAATTTCAATAAATAAATTTTTTTTTAAGTTAAGAAATGTTACTTAACGACTTTTTACCATAAACAAAAGAAAAAATTTAATGGAACGTTACATTAAAAGACTTTTAAGAGATAAATAAAGTGAAAAAAAAAACCGCTTCAATGAGCTATTGTTCTTATTGGCATTGTTTATGATAAATGAAATCCGACATTTTTATGATATCACAGTTTCACCAATTTCGAATATATCTAAAAAAATGATCAAAATCGAACAGATTGGGGATAAAATCATATTTTACTTTGAGCTATTTGACTTAGTTCACACCAAAGATGTCAAGATATTTATCATTTTTAAACATTTCCCACAATTACATTTGTTAAAATAAACTAACAAATCTAAAGTCTTCAATGAACTACAAAAAGTCACTCAATTCTTAGTGCTTAAAATTGAGCTTAGTGCTCTGTACGTGGTTAGTAAAGAAAACTTTAAGCCTATCAATCTTACTACAGAGTCTCCTCGAGAGCACTCTTATTTCCCTTTTTTCGATATACTCTGAAAGAAACAAAGAAAGAACGCCTAAAAAAGTTTTTATTTTTAGAAGACAATAATGAAATTACATTGAAAAACGTGGATAATTCATTCATTTGATAGACTATTAGAGAAAGTTAAATTTAGAAGTCAAGCTAATAAAACTGCTTAAGTAGGAAGTGATCAGGCATCAATATTTTATTGCGTAGGTTTTATGATTATGAACTCATTTTAATATTTAAGATATTATTTGAAAAATAGTTGATCAATTTCCATCTTTCTATGAAGCTCAATTATATTTATTTTCTACTAGAAATTAATTACTTCTTTCTCAAATCCTTTTACTGCATTTCATTTTTATAGAGCGTTTAGACTCTACACTTCTTTTCACGACGTCTTCTCCCTTTAGGGAAACAATTCTTAGTCTTCAATTTGCTTATTTTGAGACCTTAAGTTCCTTCCTCCACCTCTCAGTGTTTATGCAGTCACTTCTTTTCTTGCCCACAGACCTTCGGATAACTTTATTTTCTATCACTCTACTTAATATACATTACGTAAAAGAGCACAGATAAGTTACACCCCATTAAATGTGGTGCTTCACTTCTCGTATTCCAATCACTATAGTTTTCAAACTTCAAATCTAGAAGTATGCTTTCAAGTTCGCCTATCATGTGCGAAGTTTCTGAGTACATTTTCTTAGAGCTGCCCATAACTATTAAATAATAGGAGTTATGTATTTGAGTATTTCTTTCTCTCCGCTGTATCAGTATATTGAGTTACTTCCTGTCCTTTGGTACCATTCTTACCTGAAGGATCTTTCCGATCTTGATAGCTATATTCGAGTGTTAGATTAAACCGACCTACATCCAATGTTGATTTCCATACTTCACCTATGGTGGGTGCTCTTTGTCACATGCTACTTGGCCAAATCAAAAGTTATTCAGACTAAAAAAATAATTCATACTATCATTTTTTGTTAATATTTTTAGAAGATAACATTAAATTAATGTGATAAATTTGTATTTCAGTTTAAAATACAATAAAACACTTGTATGCACCTATAAGTAACATAGGGAGCGAGGTAGCTCAGTGGATGAGCACTGACTTCCAGAGCTCCGAGTTCAAATCCGGCTAATAATTTGTAATTTTTAACTTAGTAACCCCAGGGCCGAGAAACCCTTCTAGGGCAAACCTAGCTTCTTTAAAGTGGTTAGTCTTCATTAAATAATTACTAAAGGGGGAAAACCTAAATATTGAGCGTGATCTCGGCCCGATCACCTCTCTAAAAAAACCATTGGCCTTGTAACAGTACTTCCTGACATTGTACTAAAAGTGCAATATCACATGGGTTGTTAGTGGTAAAAGTTATTTTATTATGTTATATGATTTTTATTTAATATAATTTTTTGTCATAATTTTTGTTTATGTTATGTTCTGAGAATAGCGTTTATTGCATGCATTGCTACTGTTAGGGCAAGAGATCGTATGTAATAATTTTACAGAGGAGCATAAAAAATTGATGTTATTTTCTTTAGCATTATTTGTTTAAATTTCATATTTTATTTCCCTCTATGATATTCCATAGCGGCAGACTATTTTTTGCAGTTGCAGACGAAAAAATTTCACCTTTAACAAAAATAGAATAAAACTGTAAAATTGTTACATACGAACGCACGAACAGTAGCGAAATCTTATACTATCGGCTGTAACGTTGAATGAAAATGGGATGTGCCTTAACCTATAATGACAATAAGGGACAAGGGTCGGTTCAATTGCTATTTTGTTGATAAAATGTTGATTATTTGAACAACTGTTGCAGCTATATACAGGTTGATGCTGAGCGACAAGAGATACGGCCTCTCTATAAACCTGATGGCTACCAGGGTCATGCCTTCACTCCTACCGCAGACCGTCAACCCGTCCCTCAACCTGGAGCAGTTCACCATGCTACTGGAAGTCCTCCAGGACATGCTTGATCATATAGACAGGTAATTATTTATTATTAATAATAGGAAAGCCTAAAGAAGATATTCATAGCCGTTTTATTGACAACGATATGAATAAGGTACAAAACCACTTTTGCGAGAAAAAAAAATTAAATTTAATAACATGCCACAAATAAAATATAAACGGTTTGATTTTGTACATCAACTTAAATATTTCAGTATGTTTATTCTGATACTGTAAAGACTTAAAGAGTTTTCCTGTTTTTATAAAATATCTAGTGGATCAAGGATAAAGGATTTTCAAAAGCATTTTCACAGAATGAGATATTAAATACCACTCTTCCGGTACAAGAAAGACAAAACTGCAAATCATACAATTTTATAGGAGAGACAAAATTATCATAATTATTATTCAACAAATAAATTAATTCTTAAAATTTATTCCGCTGTAAAATTCTCCCTTCTATCGAATCAAATTATGTTTGAATTGCACTATTACGCTGGTTCTAATAACTACGACTTTCTGAAAATTTGAATTGATAAAATATTTTTCCAACATTTTACAGTTGCTTCGTTTTTCCAACGGAGGAGTGTTACAAACATTTTGCGAATGTTTTAAATATAAATTTGATTTTAAAGGAAGGAGATGGTCCGGGGTGGCGGTCACAAATAGGCTAAATAGTGGCAGAACTATTTTATTAAAAGCCAACGCTTCGACCCGATTTTGCAGGTCTCTTCAGGGCTAGAACGGACAAAATACAAAAATATATAGAGAATTGTGGAAGTTACATAATATTAAGACAAAAAAATATAAACAATATGAGTAAGCTTATTAAAATTATAAACAGTAAGTACATTGAAATATAAACAGAGTAAGCTAAGTAACAAGATCATAAACTGAAGTAAATAGATGGTAACAATTGTTGTGTAATATATAATAAAGGCAAATGTGAATATACTTCTTCAGATCTACAAGAGAGATTGAAAGACAAGGAAAAAGGATATAATATGAAATAATAGACATAAAGGAATGTGGAGAAAGGACAGAAAAAAGAAATCCAAAAAATAAATAAATAAGTATATAAAATTACAAGAATAAAAATAGAGGCTTACAGGTGTGTTCAGCTAGAAGTTTCCCTTAGAACTGGAAAATCAGGGCAAGGGTAGGTATTGAGGAAATTTGCTGACCTGTTTGGGTAATGGGAAAAAAAAATGGAAAATTACAGTATCTAAAATTTGAAGATATGGTTAGATACAAGGGAAAAAACTATATCTATGAAATAATAAATTATAAATATACACCCCGGACCATCTCCTTCCTTTATAATGCAACGGTTAACTATTCAATATTCAAATTTGATTTTATTTTGGTTCTCGATATATCCTTCAATCAAAGATTTTTCCTTTTGTCACTTTGGACTAGAACATAATAGTCTATCAAATTCCAAGTAATAATTAGTTTCCAAATAGTGCAGGAGAATGGATAACCACAAAGAACTGCTCTTTCCACTTCGATAAATTTAAACATAGAGTGAGCAGCTTAATGGTGTGCTTTTGGATTTATATGGTAGTTAGGAATGTTTGTTATTTCCAATACTAAGAAATATAATCTCAGTCGCATGGAAGTCAGAAATAACAGCGTATAGTTACCGCATTCTATCTCGAAGTTGGTTTCATGGGTAACAAAATTCTATGAGGCTGGGATTCACCTTTTAAAAGGCTATCAAGGGCGTTTAACCACTTACATTCTGCCATTAGATTAACTCTTTCCTATATCATAAAAGTATATCTATACAATTCAGTCAGTATTCATAGAAGCTCCTAGACCTTTCTCACTAGATGTTGTAATGAAACTGCCCTCAACGTTTCTTCGACATCCGATAACCCTTAATGCTATCTGGTTTGATTTTCTCTTCGGAAAATGTTCATAGTCTACTATAACTTTCTATTATATTTACTCAGATATTATAAAAATAATTCCATCTAAAGTGAAACGTTTGCTATAATCTTTGTTGTATAAATTCAATAGAAAAACATTGTCTTCATCTGTAATTTTTTATTGTTTTTCCTTCTGCACAGCCGGTTTCGGTGTTGGATCAGACCTTCATTAAGCAAGATAACATAAAATAATAAAATTATCTCCAACAATAAAAATTTACAGAGCAATCTAAAAAAAAAATTTGTTTACGAAACTATCTAATAGTAATAAAAACTAACTCAAAAATTTAACAATTAAATATCCAATTTTTTAATAAATTATTAAATAAAAACTAGCAATAACCTAATTTATGGTGGTCCCCTCTCCTGCTCATCAAATGATGACTAAAAATAAAAATAAAACTATTTACCAGATGGGCTATTCTTACCCTCACGTCTTGTTCTCATAAGCTACCACTAATTCTATAAGGACAGAATCCTGAAATTGAGTACATCATTTTTCATAATTCTTTTTTATTTCTAATTTTTCCATCCACTGGCTTTAGCACCAGTGACGCGGTTGAGAGAGTAGCGCAGGAATCTCTTGGATACCTGCTTTTCCTTCTATAGTTGGAGGGAGAAGCCTGGCTTGGGGTTCCCTGCCTGATTTTATATATTGTATATAGGTATGACTGTGTTTTTATGTTTTCAATTTACTTATCTTATTTACTTATCAGGTTATTTTATTTTTTATTGTACATAGTTTTACTTTCACTTACGTATATATGTAATATAAGGTGTAAGTAATGTAAGGGTAAGTATTGCAATCGATAAAATTTTTGAATCTCAGTTTTCAACGGAAATACACGTTTTGAGGTATCCTAAGTCGAAATGACCCAACTCCCGAAAAATGGTCTGTGTGTCTGCGTGTTTGTATGTTAGCAGTCTAGCTCAAAAACGAAAAGCCGTATGAAACTGATATTACGTATTTAAGATAGGTATATGCCTTAGATGTGACAGCAACTTTTTTCCCAAAACTGGCTAACCGGAAGTGCCACTTTGTATCAACGCTGAAACATATTTTTATAATTTTCTCAAAAACGGCTCTAACGATTTTGATTAAACTCGGTGTATCATTGTATAATGAAGTAATCTTTAATATTAATTAGGTCTTATGTTATTGATGTCACTTTATAGGGTTTAAATGCCTAATGTTCATATACGTCTTCCTCTAAAGTACCTTTAATATGGTTTATTTTAAAAATTTAATCATTTAACATTATTCAAAGTTACGAAAAAATGCTAAATGTAACTTTTGAAAGAATTTGATAAGTTAATAAAGGAGAAAAAAAATAAAACTGCAGAAAAACCTACGTTGCTATAGTCTGCAGCGACTAAACGAATGTACCGATTTCAATGAAACTTCGCTAAAGTCATTTTTTCGACACCCTTTAAATTTATCTATATAACATACTTCAACGATAAGAAGCTGGAAAACAAGTTAAGCGGGATGGTGAAATTAAATTCCGAATAAGGTAGTGGTTACACTGGACACGTAAATTGTACGACACGACAGAAAAGGGGCTCTGCACTGTATGTTCAAAAAACATACACTTACCATGGCAACGTCACGTCTCGATATTTCTTATCCATTCATTATTTCTAAGTTAGAAATTCTAACCTTGTCCAATATACTTACTAAATAATAGTTTAATTTTATCAAAATTGTTTTTTCATTTTTCCAATCAATAAATATAATCAATATTATTTATTCGACATATAATCCAAAATTAATTCAAATCCAGTATAAAAATGACAGAATAATAAAAATAAATTTCATTAGTGAAAATGAAAATATGCAACGACTTTTAATAGAATAAATAGTAATTATATAGAATTGAACATTGGGAATATAATACTTTTGTTTTAATACTTCAAAGAAAAAATAAAACTCATACTTTATCTATTATTAGGGGTATGCTTATTACTATAATTTTAAGATATCATCTAAAATTAAAGGCCTTATATATGTATCTGGTAACGTATGCTTATTCCAATATCTTTCTAGTTCTGTTGCTGGCTGCACTTTTTAATATCGTTTATTATCAAAGTCAGGAAAAAAACTACTTCTAGTGTTATACAAGGCTGTGTATAATTTTAGTATTACTTATAAGTTATTTTAGTCTATTTATTTAAATTCTGTTCTATTCTTCGATAGATAATATTTTTACAAGAAATGGATACATTTCACTTCACGTAGGTAGGTAGGATATGGGATGGGTTTTAGGGAGATAAATTTACTTTACGAATAACATCTTTTTTATATTGTTTTCTAATCGTAATTTTAATATTCGTTATATAGTTATGTGTTATTATTATTATAAATTTTATAAAATTAATGTATGTGTGTGTTTTGGTGTGTGTGTGTGTGTGTGTGTGTGTGTGTGTGTCTGTCTGTGTGTCTGTCTGTGTGTGAATGTGTGTGTGCGTGCTTGCGTGCGTGCGTGCTCGTGAGTGCCTATATTCTTTTTACATGTTTCCATTCAAATTGGATATATTTTTATTCATGATATTTCATCAGCATTCCATGAAGTTTAACTGTATTATGTTCTTATCATTGTTATTTATATTTGTTTTCATTATTATTTTAAACTGATCTGTAATTCTGCTTTTTTATGTATTATCTTAATTATTTTTGTTTTATCACAAGGGATTTTTGACATTATTTAGTTTATTATTTACTTAATTTTTTTAACATCATCATTTATAAATTTTTATGAAATGTTAGTTATTAGTAGATTACTTGCCGTGCATCAAAATGGCCTAAAGATATTTTATTCAATTTCATTTCAAAATTAATGATTTAAGCTTTATTTGTCAAATTTATTTATTTTTAATATTGTTTTGCGAGGTTGAGAATTTGATGTTTTGAATAGATTGCGTGATCACAATTATTGGCTGACTGATACGTGACATTGTTAATGGGTGGAGGGCGTAGGGATAGTGATGGAAATTATTAAAAGAAAAAAAAACAAACAACAATTGCAAAGAAGAATAACAATATTAAAATATATTAATGAATAAAAAATCATTGCAATGTCTAACAGCTAATTAATTATAAATATATATGAATTGTCAAAAATTGTTATTTGCTAACATCCATAAATTAATAGCATGAAAAGGTTCAGTGTAATATTTAAATGAGAAATAAGTTATACAAAACGTAAAATAATAAATATTTTTTTCTTAATTAATATTAAAAAGGAGTTTTATATGCAAAATTCGTTGGTTGGAGTGTCTATGGAATTTCGAAACTTAAATCTGTCATTGATTAAAAGTAAAAAAAAAAAATAATGATTAAATAATTAATATTCGGATAAATAATGGTTTATCAAATAACCTTTTTTTATAACTTTTTAATTCTATCTTTCTAAATTTCGTTGTATCTTTAAGTTAATTAATATTGCTATAAAGTTCAAATTAATATTATTATTTATGTTCAATTTTTTTAATGTTTTCAGTTTCATTTGATATAAAATATATTTTGGTTTGCAATATTTATTCCTATTTTCTTATACTTTCACTGAATTATCATTTATTAATTAGTTTTCGGGGATTAAGTTTGTTATTTAATATTTCAAATGCCTTGTCTTTAATTTTCTGTATTTGTTCTATGTGTTAATTTTATTTTTGAAGGAATTAGTATTGATATTTATGGACCATCGTGTTGAAAAATCTGTTTGGAAACAAACCGGTTTGAAATTCCCACGACGTCGTACGACGACGTGTTTGGCGGGTTTGCCTATCCAAGCCCCTTCTACCGAACTGTTTGTTTAATATATTTCATTAAAATAATTTTAATATGAATTTCAAAACAATGCAATTAATGACTAGGCAAAAATAGATTTTTTTACAGAATGGTTTGGATAATTTCTTTATTGATTGGCAAGTATTGAAAAAATGAAAAATAAATTAAAGAATTAATATGTTAATTCATTTGGTAACTTTTTTCTTTTTTTATTTAAACATTGATGCAATGGTCATGGATTAAAATTAATAATTTAATGAGATATTTACAATATTATGTATGAATTATAATAGATGACTATAATTGCTGAAATAAATTGCAAAAGAAATAAACGATAACTTAAAGATTTGAAACCATAGAAGTTAAATGAAACGAAAAAAAAGTCTTTGGTTAACAATAGGTGTGGATTTAATTAATCCGTGCAAAATTATTTACTATAATTAATAAAAATAGTACCAATACGAATTTTGGAAAAATCTAATTAATTAATGGATGAAAACAAATATTTTCACATAATATTTTTAATAATTTTGTTTATGATTGATGAAACACGATGTGAATTAACCTTTTTAACTAATCTGGTGTTATTTCGGTATTTTTAATCAACATTTAATTATAACGGATTAAAATATACAATATATATTGTATTTAAAATAAGATAATTTTTGTTAAAATGAGATTTTTAATTTGTTAAATATGAATTACATATAACTTAAAGTACTAAGCAGTATCTAAATAATATTTAATTATATTATAGCATAAAGGTGATGATGAGCTAAATAAAAAAATATATTTTATCTTTATTTTTTAAATTTAAAATATATAATAAATAAAATTAGGAATGTTTAATGTTATTTTTAATTTTTATATTTTGCGTACTATTGGCCATTTAAAGTCACAACTTATTTTTCTCTATAATGAAAGCGTATTAGATATTTAAATAACAATAATAATTGTTTTTTGTTTACAATAAAATGAAAATAGCTATTGTTGTAATTTTCTACTGTATTTTGAATTACTTTTGGATTAATTATGGAATAAATAATACTGTAATTAATACTTATTAATTATTAAACAATCTTAAAGGAATTAACAATTATTTTTTAAGTATATTAGATGAATATAATACAACTAAATGGATGATAAACATTAAAACATGAATGAAAATCATATGTTTTTGAGTTGAACAGTAGAGTCGTCGTATCGTGTCGTGACGGATCCAGTGTAACCACGGCCTAACTCAAAAAGTATACACTTTTTTGTCGATATTGTGATAAGATGTTTCAAAGGTATTTAAGTTTCCAAAAAAAAATGAAAGAAATTTCATCGAAATCAAAGCACCATTAGTAGAGATATCGTGATTTTAAAATATCTTTTGATTATTATTTCATTCATTCATTCATTCATTCATGTATGGCACAACATCCCGTCACCGAGACTGGGCCTCCTCCAAGAGCCTCCGCCAGTTGGCTCTGTCTTCTGCTGCAGCTCTCCAGTTCCGCACACCAAGCAGGGTTCTCGCATCATAGGCCACGTTGTCCAACCATCTCGTCCTCGGCCTTCCTACCCGTCTTACGAGGTGCAGCTCCTCCATCATTATTTTTTTTGGTATTTCAAGGGTGCTCATTCTGGCCACATGCCCTGCCCACCTTAGTCTGGCCAGTTTAATATACGTGACTACGTCGATGTCTGCATAGAGAGAACTGAGCTCCCTATTTTTTCTTTTCCTCCAGACATCACCCTCCTTTACTGGACCATAAATCCTTCTGAGGACTCCTCGCTCAAAGACACTCAGCTTCATCTCATCCCTTTTGGTCATCGT